AGTACTAAATTGTTTGTGTGTTTATAGCACATCTCCCTTTGACTTTAAGGGGAACTACATGACTAGCTCTCAAGATCAAATTTTGAAAACATGTAGCCAGGGAATAAATATATAAGCATCTCATTCCTATAAATGTTGGCTCTGTCTAGCTTGGTTAATCCTGAGGACAGCAAGCCCATACCTAACTTAGGTTTAAGGTTTGACCTGCTTCCACGCTGGCAGATGGTCATTTCCGGCAATAAGCAGTGCTCCACCTGTGATGGATCAGGCTGGGTCTGGGTACCACTGAGGGCATCCACTCAGGGTGAATTGCTCAAACTCGGGGCTCCTTACAGCCCCAGACTGTAGACCTTCCCAAATAGGCCACAAACCAGTCACACTGAGCGCTTCAGCTGCCAATCCGGCAAGCAGGAAGCCTCACGAGCAAAACTCCTCAGACACCCCAGCTCTCCCTGTGCCACAATCAGCCCCAGGCCTTACACACAGGTGATGGGTTATAGAACCTAATCTCACCTACCCCGAATGGGTCTTTCTGGTCCCAAAGAACCAGGCACAAATCCCCGGTCAGTTTGCACTTTGGATCTTACCCACAAGAGCACGCTGAGCCAATCCTTTAGAATCTAAAATCTAAAGGTTTAATAATAAAAGTAAGAAAAGCATGAGAGTAAGGTTGTTAAGGAAAATACATTACATGCACCAGTCACCAAGTTCCTGATGCAGGCTCTCAGCAGAGATGTTACAAACTGCTATCTTAAAAGTCTCTGGTGTACATCCTATGTCAGGCTGGGTCAGCAATCCTCCTCAGCTATCTGTTCCTTGCAAGGCTGCATTTGGGTTCAGTAGCAGAATTGAATCCTCGTGGAATGAGGTGTAACAGTTAATTCGAACTAAGGACTTAGTTTGAGTTAACATTTGACTGCCGTGTAGCCGCGGGCAGTTAGATCGGACTAAGGAGATTTAAAAATGGCGCCCGGATGGGAAGACGCAAATGAAGCCCAGGATATTTAAATCCCGGGCTTCATTTGCAACTTCGAATGCCTACATTAGCCTCCTTAGTTCGAACTAGGGGGCTAGTATAGACATACCCTAATTCTGAATAGAACAATATTTTTCTAACGTGACAAATTTCTATTGTAGAAGTTAATGGGATCCAGAGATCAGTGCAGATTTCTCCACAGGTCCTCTAGCAGTGGTATAACACTTGGAAGCAGATTCTTCTTAAGCAGAATTTCCTACTTTGTAAATCAGGCTAGGTCTAGACTATGGGGCTTTATTGGAAAAAGTTATGCAAATTGCAGAGCGCAATTTGCATAGCTTTTTTTCAATCGCTTTTGCGGAAGAGGCTTTTCTGCCATTTGGCCCTGTGTAGATGGGGCCAAATGGCGAAAAAATCCTCCTCTTGCAGCAGAGCCCTTATGCCTCATGAAATGAGGTATACAGGGCTCCCCGAAAGAGCATGTTTGCTCTTCCGTGAAAAAAAAGCGGAAGAGCAAACGCGTTCCTTGGATGTGGTGGAGTTTTTGCGGGATACCTCGGGTATCCTGCAAACTCCCCATAGTCTAGATGTAGCCTCAAAGAAGACTCTATTGCAGAAATGAATTTACATTGACTCAGTGACACCTAACAGTGAAAAGAGGTTAATTTAACCATCATGTATGCAATATGGAGCCTTAATTTTTACTACATTTTGTGAGTTTGTGCGGATGTTTTTTGTGTGGATGGTGTAATGAAAAAGATTTAAACACTTAACTCAGGCAAAAAAAAAAGACAAAAATAGGTTGCAGACATTTCTTTTTGTGTTTTGGGAACATGTTTTTAATATGGCAAACTGGGCCATATTTTGGACCACATCCTGCTCGCTAATGGGAGATCCCTCTATTTTCACCAGGATTTGATTGGCACAGTATGTAGGTTTGTGGAGTAGCTAATGAATATGCAAAACAGTAACTTTTCAAAACTCTCTGAATATTATACAGTGCAAGTTGCCGCTTCATAGGAAGTGAGAGATCCCCAAACCACTTCAAATGCTGGCCCCTGAAGACCCTATTACATTGCCATTATGATTAAACTTGTGTCAAACTGTTCTCTCCTTCTGGCTCCTGAGCTTTCTGTTGCTCCTCAGCGAGGAGCACTCTCATTATTGTGGATGAAAATGCACTCAACAGACTCAAGATCAAAAAAAGAGTGTAAAGCAAGATGTAAAATACCAGCCCAGTCAGAGCCAAATAAATGGCATATGATTTTTTTTCCTGCAGAGGAAGCAGTGTAGCGACAAACATACAGCTGTGCCTACTCTTTGGCACATATTAGAAGTTGTTTGATCATTTCACTTGCCTACTTGCCAGTCAGCAATTAGATTGTTCGGGGAAGAGGTAGAGGGGAAGGGCAAGGTCACCCTAAGCTGTTCCACAGCAAGAGGCACATACAGAATTTTCCTGGTCTACTAGCTGTAATTGCTTTTCTCTACATAAAGCTAGGTCCACTACGCTCAATTCTCCTACCTCACATTCCCTGCCGCTATCATAGGTTCCTGCACACTTCCTTTCTTTAACAGGGGTATAAAATACAGAGTGTGGGAAGAAACTGGACAAACAAGGGAGGTACAAATGGCTTGACATTTTTGTTGACTGAAGAACAGACTATGGAAGTTTTCTTCGGGGAAAAGGCATAGAAAAGCAGGCTTTAGTCCAATGGGCTCTTGTCCACTAGTACTATTGAGGGTGAGAGGGAGGAGAGAGTTGTTTTATTTTTGCAGCTACAATAGCTTCATAGATGGATCCTGACTGTACAAGGTGCCTATGTGTATATTCCAAAAGGGATTCTAGAATCTCTCATTCACTGTACTGTTTCAAGCATTATAAACACCCTGGAACTGGTCTTCATTTCCAGTTTTGATACAGATACTATAGAGTGTTCCACAAGCACAAATGAATAAAGTCTGGCCTTAGAAATCAACAGCTCCGTCTTTACAGACTATGGTAAACAGCAGTGAAACCCTTTGTTTCTGATTGATACCTGTACACAAACAAGTGTAGAAAAAATCCTGACTTAGCTTTACTCACATTGTCTGAAAGAGTCAAGTGACGATATTCACACAGATCCAAGTCTCAGACCTGAAAAGTCCTAAGTCTTCAGAGAGACAGGATAGCTGTTTTCAAATATCTAAAAGGGTGTTACAAGGATGAGGGAGAAAAATTGTTCTTCTTGGCCTCTGATGACAGGACAAGAAGCATGGACTTAAACTGCAGCAAGGGAAGTTTAGGTTGGACATTAGGAAAAACTTCCTGTCAGGGTGGATAAACAGTGGAATAAATTGCATAGGGATGTTGTGGAAACTCCATCACTCAAGATATTTAAGAGCAGGTTGGACAGACCTCTATCAGGGATGATTTAGAAGATGCACAGTCCTTCCGTGGGGCTTGGGGACTGGACTTGATGGCCTCTTGAGGTTCCTTCCAGTTCTGTGATTCTATGATTCAGGAAAATTGCATCTAGACTTTCCAGCTGGCTCCCATGTTAATAAAAGGCAGAACCAAATGGCAGGGTCTGACTCAGAACACTGCTGAACTTTAGTGAAGACTAGAATAGAACTGTGCAGTTTGGGCCCATCTCAGTACTGACAAAAAAGAAAGGTATATATTTTTGGTATAAGGGAAAACAAGCTTACATAGCAAAGGGTTCTTAGTTCAGCACAGGATTGCTTATATTACACTAATAGTTGACCAATGACAATAGAGTACATGCTGGGAAGGCTGGCAGAGCATCAAAAAGGCATCCAGGTATCCAAATGTGCTCAGGAGAACATTCAGTAAACAAAAGGGAAGATGTCGTTCTAACTTCTAGTCAGCAAAGGTTAACTTAACACTAAGTGGTGAATTTTGAAACCTCTGGAGAAGGACCTGTATAACGTAGGTGTGAAACAGGCAATAGCAAAACAGTTTGCTCTAAATATTATTTGGTGTAACGCACTGAAAATGAAAGTGAGAGTATATGAGCTACAGGGAGAGGGGTGTATGTGCATGCGTGAAAGAGAGTCTAAAACTGATCAAATCTACCCAGTGGCCAGATTTCACTTATGGGCACTTGTGCACAGCTCCTGTATATTTTAGCAGACTTGTACATGTATAGATTCTGATTCTGCCATTGGATGTTTGTGACTTTATGGAGTAAATTCTTTCCAAAATGCCAGACAAATTTATAGTGCACTTTCTGTATACCAAAGAAACAGTCTGTATATTTTAGTGAGCCGTGCTTGTATACCAAAGGCTTATCTACACTTAGGCTACGTCTAGACTGCGCTCTCTTGCACAATAAAATAAGCAAATGAGGCAAAGTGGTGAATATCACGGTTCCTCATTTGTATACTTAATGAGCCGCCATTTTTGCAGAAGGGGCTTTGCGTAAAAAGGCGCCACCTACACAGCTCCTTTTTGTGCAAAACCCCCCTCTTCCGTAAGAGTCATTCTGCCTGAAAAAAAGCGGCAGAATGGCTCTTGGGCAAGAGGGGTTTTTTGCGCAAAAAGGAACAGTGTAGACAGCTCCTTTTTGTGCAAAAGCCCCTTGCACAAAAATTGCGGCTCATTAAGTATGCAAATGAGGCACGGTGATATGCTCCCCTTCACCTCATTTGCATATTTTCTTGCGTAAGAGAGTGCAGTCTAGACATAGCCCTAGTTTTTGTAGCATTACAAATATGTTGGTTTAGAAAAGGTATAAGTCTCTTTATACAAATGTAACTGCATTCACAGTTAGGGTTGTATTGATTTAACTATACTGGTATAAAATTACTCCCCTAATAAAAAAAGTTGAAAATTGTATGTACAGAATGCCAAAGACACTAAAAATATACTTAGAAAAAGGGAGGCAGAGTGGTTAACCTGGGACTCACGAGACCAAGTGAATTCCCTGCTCTTCCACAGGCTTCCTGTGTGACTTTGGGCAAATCATTAAGTCTCTGCCTAGGTTCTCCTCTATAAAATTAGAACAACTGTATTACTTACCTCCCAGCTGTGTTGGGGTGAAAAATAGGTTACAGATGGTGATGTGCTCAGAGGTAGTAGGCTACATATAATGAACAGAATCAATATACAGGTAGGTAATATCCCAACTTACACCCCTTTTCTCTTTCTCACTAAAGCTCTACTCACAACTAGAATTATCTTCCTCTTGCAGCAGGCAAAAGCGGATCTCCATTGGCTCACAGTTTGTCCATATATCTACTTGCAAATTATTTTCATAGCTTAGAAAGCCTATGTATAGGCACATCCCTAGGCTAGCTTAGCCATGTCCATTTCTGGCCAGCAATGCACATTTTATTGCTACTCTGCCTGCCTGCAGGCATCATCACTCCATCACTGGCGAAGCAGCCAATTTATGCCACCTCAGCCTCCCCTTGGCAGAGTTTTTACATTTCATCATTCAGACTCATGTACACAGAAGCCACTGAACCATTCATGCATATGCATGCAGCAAAGGGGGTTTGTTTGTTTAACAGAACAAACCTAGGACTCAGCTTAGCAAACATGTTTAGCTTGAAACAAACATTCGGGAAGCCTCCATTCTAGCCTTTTTTAAGGGATAAACTGGTGATGAGCAACGAAGGACAGTGAGCCAGCCACACCAGCCCACTGGCCACTGGAGTCCACCTGTAGCCCATGACCCACTGTCTGCTTCCCTCCCCCACACACCTCTCTTGCACGGGAACACTGGCACCCCACACTTACTTTCTCCTCCTCCTCCCTCCCAGTATTTATGGAGCCCCACAAATCCACTGATTTATGCTCTGTCCTGCTCCTCCCACTCCCTGCCAGAGCTTGAACAGCTGTGAACAGCTGATTTGCAGCCTTTCAGCTCTGGGAAGACATGGAAGAAGCAGGGACAGAGCATGAATCAGCAGGATCTTGGAGCTATGCAAATGTTGGGAGAAAGAAGAGTGTAGGAAGTGCAGGCTCTAGCATCCCAGTGAGTCATAGGTGGAGCCCCAATTGACCACATGTAGCCTGCAGGCCTCAGGTTGCCCATCTCTGATATAAACTATCTTGAGGACATTGACAAACATTACCCAGGGGTAAAAGCAAATGCTGATATATGACTTACTCAACCATTTTAATCAGTCCAGAATTTGGACCTATACATCACAAATTGTAACAATTGCTTCTATAATTTAATAGCACAATCAATGCAAGCCAGGGACATTGCTGCTCTAAGGCAGCTCTAAGCATTCACAAACCTCTTAGTACCAGCACACATTCTTAAACCTTCTCTATCATTCTGCCTTTTGCATTATTGTTTATTAGATTTAGCTTTAGTCCTGAGAGGTGTGGAGCATCAATAACTCCCACTAAAGTCAATGGGATTTGACACATGTAGGAGTGGGGTCAGCTCATCCTCAAATCAGGTCTTAGTGTATGCCACACAGGTTAACCACATTCACAGCTTGGGCCCAGATCCTCAAAGGTATTTAGGGGCTCATACTTTTGGTTTCACTGGATGCCAGTATATACAGGTTGAAACTCTCTTATCCGGGATTCTCTGGTCTGGCAACATCCATGGTCTGACATGGATGTTGCAGGAGCAGAGAGCCCCAGTGGAGGGCCAGCAGTATGGATCTGTGTGGGGCCAGCAGGGCAGTGGTTTGCTCACAGGGAACTGATGGTGGGGCCACCCAGCACGTGGCAGCAAGGCTATGTGGCTGCCCAGGGAGTCCTGATGCACGTGGCTGTTCAGCACTCAAGTATACACACTGTGTCTAGAGGAGTCACAGCAGTGATGGCTTCCCAGCAGGTCGGCAGAACAGCTGGGACAGCAAGAGGTGGGGAGCTGGCTGAGAGGCCAGTGGCTGGGCCATGGGGGCCAGAAATGACTTCCTTTGGTCCAGCAAAATCCCACATCTAGGATCAGTCTGGTCCCGGGGGTGCCGGACCAGAGAGATTCAACCTGTAGCTTCCCCCAACCCTACTGCTACTTTATGTAAGTCTTTTGCATGGTGGAGTTGACAATAACAAAGACTGGGGTCAGTCTTTAAAGGTTCCTCTTACAATATAAAACAGAGCCAGCTCCAGCCCTAACCCAGTGCCTGTATGAAGCAATATTTCCCCACTTGCAAGCTGGAGTCTGAGTATATAAAAAGAGAATTTTTAATTAAAGGGAATCAAGCATTAGTTTGGGAAAATGCCACAACCACATTCAAAAGTATGTGACTATAAACAAACCTGACCCCACAATGCACTGGGAAGTGTCCCTTCCTTCCATTGTCTGACAAATGACTTCACCTTTAACACATTACTTCCCTTTCCCTCTCCTGCACCCCAGTCACAGTTGGATGTCCTTGGGTAGCAAAAATCCAGAGTTCATACCTCCGTATGTTCACAGTTCATCTCGCATCCAAGATAAAGGGTAGGGAGAAACTCAAAGAATGTCTCTGATATTGCTGGGAGCTTCTGTGACTAGCTGCTTGCCACTGCCTCTGCTGCTTTTCTCTGCATCTTCCAGACATGTGCTGCTGCTGCATTTCTGCTCATGTGCTGTCCTCTAGGACCTTGGCTGCCACATCTGCTAGACCGTGTTCTGAGGTGCCACCACTTAATTCCAGGTCTTCAGTGATTTCAGTGGTTAACAGAGAAGCTCACAGCCAACACAACCTCGGGGTTGTCTTTCATTTCACCATGGTCTATACACCATGGATTACACATAGCTCTGAGATCTGCTTATCCATGAGTCAGCTCTAGTGAGCACTGAACCTAAACAAGGACTCTCAATCTAAACTAATGTGCTCTGTCTTGAAACACTGAAGAGGGGAAGGTCAAATGGTATCTAGGACTCTTTGGACAGACTCCATACCACCAAGCAGGAACAGCTGCCCCCACACCCAAACCCTATCTCTCTCTCCTTCACAGGGATTTGACAACCCCTGTTTAGGAAGTGAGGTTCAGTTTAGGGTCATCTCCTCTCAATCAGGACAGGCTAAGTAAAGTTATATTACCCTTTATTCATACAATAAGGATAACAACATTTCATTACCCTCATGCTCAATACTACCATAATTTGTAACCCAAAAACTATCATTTTGGCAAGCAGATCCATCATGCTGCACACCTAGGCAGAGCAAGTGGGTCTGTTCCTGAAATCTTTCCCCATAGCTCACCACTAGATGTCATGAGAGAGCTCGTTCAGATCCTGCTTATGTATATTTATAAATAAATCATTGCATTGATGCTCTGTACCAACTTTCTCACTGTAGAATAAAAACAGACCATTATATGTATGTGATTGGCCTTATTTTAATAGCAGACAACACTCATAGGCAGGGATTTTCGAATGTAAAACTGCAGATATATAAATGTATAGCTCAGAATTTACTTGATTCAAAATTTGCACAGATTTTTATTTGGTGCCGTTATGCAGCTGCTCTATGTAACAAATGCTGACAAACCAGTTTCCAGGTGAACAAGTGCTGCATGATATAGTATGATTCACATTCATGTTGACCTTTATCTTGTTTGTGACTGAAAAGAATCAAAATTACTGGCATTAACAGTGTGCAAATATTGAAGTTTAATCTGGTTTGGTTACCTCTGCTTTTAACTGTGTTTCCATTTTTTCATCATTCAGGCTCTCAAATATACGGAAGTTCCTGAACCATTCATGTGTGTGCATGCAGAGAGTCAGTGTTTGACAGTTCAGGAATGTAATAAAGCGGTATTGCACAGAAGCTGCATTAGCTAAGCTGTCAACCTACAACAACATTGATGTAAATTATCATATCAAATTAGTCAAACTATCCCAGGGTAAATGGACATTTATAGTAATGTAATGATATTTGGCTATCTGATGACCAACCCCTATTTCAGGAGCTTTGAATGGAAATATTAATCATATTGGCATTTGAGTTGTGTTAGCTTAGTGCATTTTCTTTAAGAATGATTTTCTTGTAGATGGTACCATGATCACATGCCAAATTTCTTACCTGGCCATATTGCTGCCTCATATCTGATGTCCAACACAAGCCCTCTCCAAACAATACTAAAGGCAATGTGAGATGGTGACAACTTCTAATTACCATCAAGAGGATTACACCTACCTCCTACTATTGATACCAAGGAAAGGCCTTAGATTCTAGGTGTACTTTCCCTCATGCCAATGAGAAGAAGCTGTCATATGTGCCTGCCTCCAAACTGGCCTAAATAGTTCTTGGTCTGTCTTTTTTGTTATGGGTATGTGCAGCTCCTAGCACAATGGGGTCTTGCTCCGTTACTGGGGCCCATAAGCACTGCAGTAATATAAATAACAACAACAACTAATTTTGACAGATGTATTCCTTAAACTAAAGATTTATCTTCTCCTGTATCTCAGGGCTGACTAAAATAAAATAAAACAAAACAAAATAAAATGTTTTATTCAGTCTCCTTTTCTCAAATACATGACATGCGTTGTCTATTGCTCTGAAGAACATACAATTGGAAACACAAGCAAAGGGCATTGTAAGGTCTCACTTTGCCATTCACAGATCACCCTTCTCCTGTTACCTTCTGATAATAGAAGAGAATGAATGAAATAGGTAGGCATTTCAGGAGATGACCAAAGCCTGCTACTATTGTGTATGGTTGGATGAGCAGACAGGCAGTCTTCATTCTTCTCCAATAATCGGAACATTTAATGCCTTCTTCCCATGTGACAAATCTCAGAGGCAAAATATGGGGCCATTTTAAATTATGGAGACTAGATAACGACAACTGTAGTAATTTATTTTAATGTAAAGGAAATTTATTACTGGTACTTCATGGTGTATAGTTGGAATAAGCAGTGCATTTCTTTATAAGGACATCAGTTCTGATTATGACACACAGATACAGTCGGTAATTTAGGTAAAAAAAAAAGCAACATTGGATCAGGTCAAAAATTTCAGATTATGAAGACTTCAAGAGAATGAGAGTGTGATAAACATTATGGGCATGAGAAAATGAAAGATCATGCAAGATTTCTGAAACTGTCTACTGGTTAGGAATATAGAATTCGTTCTCAGTTTCAGAATAATTTTCCTTCAGCTTTTCCTGATCGCACTAGCAATGTTCTGAATCCAAGTCATTTTCTCATCTTTGCTTGCTTTCTTGTTTTACTATGGAGGGGGTGTGTATTCAATACTGTCTTCTTTTCTGGCTGTCTACTAATGAATTCAAAAGCCCTTGGATAATTATGAGAAAAACATTTCAGGCCACAGATTAATACTATCTCTGTCTTTAAATATATATTTATTTTGTCTGAATTGAATGAGAATGTATTTTCCCCACAAAAATCAAACAAATCTTCTCATTGTTACTA